AGGGGGGGAAAAAAAAAAAGAAAACAGCAGGAGGATTATTCTTTCAGCACTTACCTTCAGCTGAGCCAGGGACTGTAGATCCTGAACAAAATGGCTAAAAATAAACAAGGCAGAATGTCAGAATTTGTTGGAATTTTGTTTAGAAATTATTTTTTACAATTTCATTTCTGCATGAGGAATTACATTTTACCATTGGATCCTGCAGCCACTGAAGTCAACAGCAAAATCTTAGGCATTAAACAAACCCTGGTTTCTAATAAAAATAAATTTAAAACGGATACAGAAAGGTTTATATACAAGTCTGATGAGCCTCTTCAGCTTTCTCCTTTGCATTCCGGCATGGATTGAGCTGAAAGCACTGCACATGCAGCAAAGGAAAAAGATGGTTTTCCTATTCTCAAGCAACCTTCAGAGGCTGACAGTTCTGACCAGCTGAAGGTAGCTACATCTAACTCTCCTCAGCCGGAAATACAGCACTGACAAAAAAATCCCAGGGCCTTTGTGACATCTTTCCATTCTTTCTGCCTTTCAGAGAACATCTTCAAAACTCAGTGACAACTTAGGGACTGATACCAATTAAACTGGCCTCAGTAGCTGTAGGATCTAGCTGCATTTTGCATTGGGCCTGGTTTATGCCAGTTGTATCTTAAGTGCTTCAGAATTAAATAGTGGAAAGACAGAAATCGAGAGCATTGATCAAGGCAGGAGAAGATATTTGCAAACAAAGAGTGAATGAAGCTGCAAGACACTGGACGGCTTTCATGCAAACCAACCGTGGCAATAAAGGGACAGAAAGCGAGGCATCCTTTGACAGAAGAGTAGTGGGCAGTGAGAAGACATGTAGAAAAAGATAAGGTCAATAAGATAATTACACACTCTATTATCCTTCTTTAATATTTTGCTTTTAATATGAGACCCAGACCAAATCTTTGCAGACTATTATTGTAAAAGTTTGTGCTTTGAGTAGCTATGGGAGAATATCTGACTTTTTAAACAAGTATTAGTTTACATCTATGTTCTACTGCATTACAGTTAGAATATACTTATTGTTAGTCATACTTCAAAATGTATTTAATATTTTACAGGAAATTAAATTTCTCTCCATTTTGATACACAGTGGTTTGAATCAATTACATTCTTCACTCCCACCCAAAGGCTTCTTATGTAATGTGTTAACAGAACAGGATCGACAAGAGCAACCAACCGCATCTCTGAAAATAAACATAAACATATCCCAATTAAAAAATCATGGGAACAAAGTCTTCCGTCAAAGCAAATTTTTCCTTCGTGGACAATTGAATTGGAACAAATCATAAGCTTAATCAGCAGACAATAAAAATGAAAAGGTTTGTTAGAAACTTTAGTCCCATTTCTGAAAAATTCCATTCATTTGAGAGGTACTAAGTCACAAAAACAGCCCTTCTGACTTCAGCTGAGCTACTCAGGATTAATGGTTTCTGGAATACTGACACTCTGTGGCCTAATTACCTGTTCCACTAGCAATTCCATTTCTTTAACAGTTTGGCAGGTTAACTGCTGTGCTGCAGTCTGTTCTTCTGACAGAGGTAAGCGCTAGAAAAAATGCAAACAGAGAACTCTGATGCTTTCAGTTCCTAGGGTGATGGTATTTACAGAAGAACTCAATGTTTGTTTAGCCCTTTTCTCATGGAAACTAATAGTAGACTCCTACTTTCCTTCAAATGAAGGCAAATTTACAAGCTAAGTATTTCAGAAAAATCCAACCATAATATTCCTTCAACATCAATACTATAAATGATTCAATGGAAAGAAGGTAAATTATTCAATAAAAGAAGTACTCCACTTAAAGACTTACGTTTCTCCATAACAGTTTAATCCATCTTTGGTTTAGGAAATATACAAAGTACAAGAAAATCTTTATCTAAAAAGTCTAAATGTAACTCAAGAGACAAGAGTCTTCCGCTTTAACAAAATCCAAATATGAAATTATTCTTGGCAGCATATCCTTGGAACACAGGGAGAGAAAATATTTTTTCCTTTCTGTGACATATAACTACTGTCTTTTAAATCATTATACAGTACATTTTATCTATAAAGACTTGCCAGTAACTTGTCTAGAGCTGTTGAGAGATTAAACACAATCTCGGAGCACCGTCATTAGAACACTAAAGTGAGAGCTGAGATGTGGGAATATGTTTTAGTCACACCAGTTCTGTCTTTGCCACTAGACTATCAATTAGCTTTTTCGATCTAAATCACCGTATTTGTAAAGGGACAGAATTAATGCTTTCACAACTTCTTCAAAACTGTAATGAAGCAGTGTCTGAAGACCACTTAAAAAAATGTGTTGTTGGGTTTTTTCGATAGGCATTATCATACTGAGAAAAACTTCTTTGCACTATCAGCAATTCCAGCACATAGGTAACAATGCGTTGGTTTTAACTTACTTTGGACGGTGAAAATACATTTGCCATTTAAAAGCTTTTTTGCCTTTTAAGTTTGGTTTCACTTTCTAATTCCTTTAAGGTAGCTACTTTTAAAAAAAGTCAATATAGAACTGTGACACAGCTGCGCACAGAGGCATCAATTTCTATGAAACTATTCAAATGTATGTCACACTATCCACACTATTATGGTATTACTTCAACTCCAAAACTGAATACCACTAGCTTAACTGTTGAGTGATGAATCAGGCTTGTGATTTACAAAAAGAGCTCTAATCTTGCAAACATTTCTTCAGGTAAACGGTCATCTTATCTTCTAAGAGTCTCCTAAGAGTCTGCACATGTAAGAGTTTCCAGTGGAGCTACTCACATCTACGTCAAGGTTACACAAATACGTGTTCATTTACAGGCGTGTGACCCAAGTGATTGAAATGAAAATACTACCTCAAGATCAGCATGTTGCTGTAATGCCTGAACCATCTTCATTGTGTTCTCTAGAGCAGCACGGATGCCCTTCATGGATTCTCTCTGCTCTACGAAAATTTTTTCCAGCTGCATACATAATGTTTTATAACGAGATTTCAGCACTGAGAGTTCTTCCAAGAGAGCAAATGGATTTTCCTATGTAGAAATTAAAAGTACATTTAAACTATTTAAGAAGAGAAAATTAATGTGGCCACATACCAATTAAAAGTGTCGGCATTAGAGCCACTAAAATATAACATGAAACGACCCTTTACAATGAAAAGCGTAGCTGTGAGCATCTGTTTCATCTATACGTTTAATTTTTCATAAGCAAAAATGATAGTGCTAATAAAACAGCACAACTCCGTGGTTCCACAACAAATACAGGAGGATGAATTTCTTGTGTTGGTGAATTTTAATGGCTTTTCTGCATTGGAATAAATTAGGGACTTCTAACTAAAAAGATTATTTTTCCACTGTATGTCACAATATACACAGAGACAAGGACCTATTTATAGAACCCTTTACATGCTGCCATTTTTTGTTTTCCTCTTTCCTCCCCAAATCTGAATTTAGTCATTGCTTATTAGCAAGTTTATCTTTGATCTCGGAGCAAGGGTGTGTTTTAGCTCAGATTGGAATCTCTCTCTTAAATTTAGGTGTTAACACGACTACTCATTTCTCAAAGCAAACCATGAGAGAATTTCACTATACCAAGACATCAAGGAAGTTTTCTGCACTGAATTCATATTAGGCCAGTTATCTTGATGTATGATGCAAGAAATTTTTTAATAATGATCAACCAACTAACAACTAGATAAAATAACAGCCATGTATATTTTAGGATTAAAGAAAATTACCCATTTATTACCAACTTTATGCAAAATGCAATAAAATCTATTAATTTCATCTGAAAATACTACCTCTGCTGCTGGATTATCAGGAAGACTTTTCATTATTTCAAACTCCAGTCTGTGTTGAATATAATCCAGATCAGATTCTGCCTTCTGGAACTAAAATATTTAAGATCAGCCACAATGTATTAAAAAACAAAAAATGCAGACAAAACCCAACCGTTCGCCTTTCCTGTATTTCAGGAAAGCAGAAGCCAGATGCCTCCATTTTAAAGGTTCATGTACTATAAAATTAAGTTTCTATTCCTCCGATCTGTTCCATTAGCTAATGTTTGCCAATTATGCTGACACACTTCTAGCCTGAAAAATATAAAGCAATAAACTTGCAGACATAACATAACCATTTTCCTCTCACATGTAAGAATTAAGCGTGTGTACATAAACACACTCTTCTATTAATTTTATCCTCTTTCCATTTGTCTAACCCAAATTACCCCATTGTTCTCTTTACATCTTGCCATTAGTACCTTTTTCATGCAGGACCCCCAAAATGCATGAAAACATTTCCATCTCTTCCTATATTATCTTCCATCTCCCTTGCAATGCCAAACCTCTCAAGATGAAGTTTTTAAGTAGTACACCAAAGAGGTAAGTTATAGCAATAGAAAAGAACATGCATCTTTTTTAAACTGATATTCACTTGGTGCAGGAGATGTTTGATTTTTTCTCCTGAGATATTAACATATTTTCCACCAATTTTTAAAGCTTTTTCTTGGCTAGTTGCTCTTCTTTTCAAACATTAGAAGTTCTGTTAGCAAAACTGCAATACTCAGTTATTTACACAGCAGAGATTATGAATAAGTGTTCAGGATCCAAGCACATCAACAGAGATTTTATTATTAATTACATTAGGAATGCATTCTCTCAGACGGTTATAATACCCGTAATACATGTTATTATTCCCCAATAAACCAGACTGACAAATAAATAGATAATAAAATTGATGACATCACATTTCTTTCCTTGGGATAAATAAGCCACCAGAGAATTATCTAATTGCCTTTTAAAACAGTCTGCTGATAGCATTATTACTTAATTTAGTCTGCAATTTTAATATCAATTAAGGACTGCTGCTTTAAAGAAAGGCAGTTTTCCCAGTTCACAAAAAAGATATGAATTTCTTAACGTAACGATTTGGGGATTTTACAGTCACAAAAGAGACTGTGATGAAAGCAAGTTAAAAATGCTTGTAACTTACTTAACTCAGTGTGTTTTTCACTATTTATATTGAGATTAACTCTGAAGTAATCGTTACAACTTTTTAAAGGATCAAAATAAGGCTATATTTGTTAACTGTATCCCAAAGTACTAACTGGCAGTGCTGTAATGGTAACTAAAGTGACAAACTTCAGCAGTCTTTGGATGTAGCCTGTAGTCAGGCCTGGATACCCAAAGGACATTTGTATTTTAAACGTCAGCCTTGGGATCCACCTTCAGGAACTCTCATTAATGCCTTTGAGGCTCTGGAACTTCAGATAGCCTAAAGGAATGTATTATTATTATTATTATGAAATGTATGATGAATTATTATGAAAATGTATGATCTTTCATATATATACAAACACCTTCAGCAAATTTTCAAATAGTAGCTTAAGAAAAGGAAAATAAATCTAGTAAAGACTTTGAGCATCTCTAAATCAAAGGGAACGCTTACACCCGTTACTCCCATCACTTACCATCCGCCCAACAAAACTCCTCCCCACATCTACCCCAGAAACCAGTCATGATAAAATGCAAAAATAAAATACGTTTCATTACACTATGTATTTTTAAAGAGTTCATGAGGGATTTTTCCTAACTGCTCAATCATTTCTCTTCTCCTCCACGAGCAAACGTGTTTAGGTTTTCATTTCTAGAGGCAGGTACCCCAAAAAGATCCTTTTTTTGCTTTTCTCCAACTCCTCCATTTGATTATTAATTTTTGAGAAAGCAGACAATGAATATGGGTGGATTTCAAAAATATCCATGAAGCTCTGCTCCTGAAATATTCAATACTGATAATTTGAGATTTACAGAATGACAGTAAGCCACTAATACCATGCTACTACTATGATTCAAGACATTAAAAATTGAATGCGAAGCTGAATGCTTATCCATCACGTGGCTATAATTTTAAGATTTGTGCTTAATGAGAATATTAACAGGGTTCAGTATCACTGCTTTCTCCTGCAAGTATGCTAACTCTGAAAGAAACAAAATTTATTATCAGCAATTTCAAAGCGTGTTTATAAGCACTGCCATATATTCCTCCATTATGATCCCTTTTTCCTTTGTTTTATAAATATTTATTTCTTGCTGTATTCCAAGAAACACACACCTGCAAAAATCTCACCTTAATGTTATAGGTTAGGACCATTCCTATGATGAGTGTTGTACAACAATCACACCGAAAATGCAGTTTGTGAAATGTAAACTTGTAATTTACTCACAGGCTTAGAAGGAAGTGTTAGAAACCGTGAGGCCAGACTGAAGCCATTGCTGCGCACTCTGCTTTCAGATGCTTTGACAATACTATTGCACTGCTAGCTGTAAAGTACAGTAGTGCAATAAAGTCAGAGCATTCGTTAGCAGCAAGAATTCTGTACAAGTAATCAATACACTCAAAATATGTATCGGGAAAAATAGGTCGAGTCAGATAGTGGTTTCTGTAGATCACGGAGAATTGGATAAGGTTAATGTTCACCAAGTTCTTAATACAGACACACAAGAACTCACATATTTCAAGACATTATTATTATTCATAATCCCTGTCATTCCACTGACGGCGGGCAGGGGGGACGACAGAAAAAGGAGAAAAACACCCAACAAAATGCTCAACAGATCTGTCAGAAATTCAATTTCAAACGCTTTGGTGCTCTTAACTGGAAACTACATTTCCAAATTTATTTCTTAGATTTGCCTCATAGCAAGCAAAGATTCTAAACTGCTATCAGACAGATGTTCCTAAACTGCAGTACAGGGAACATTTTCTGGACACCGGAGTTTATTATTCTTATTTGCAGGTATTGAATCACTTCAAAATGCAGTCAAACACACACTCATTTCCCAACATTGTGGATGTACATTACCACTGGGGTTACCACATGGATGTTAGAGCACCATCAAAGTGGGGGTGTACTTCATAAATCTCAATAAAGGAGTTTCTTTTTAACAAAAACAGTTAACTTCATATAAAAAGTTTGAGAACTCTTAGGGTTTGAAGGTGCTAGGGTTCTTAACAACAAAATGCAAAGAAACAGAGCGACGGAGTGGAGAGTGATGGATGATTGCTAATGCACACAGAGCAACAGCCTGAGTCAACACCACACCTGTCACATTTCTCTAGAACACACTGTAGGAATAAGAATGCTATACAGTGTTCTTTCCTCTTTGTAGGGCGCTTATTTCTAAGGAAACACACACAGAGCGTTGATGGTATTTAAAGACCAGTTAACGTTTCTCCTTGGCAAATAACTAGAAGACGAGTGCAAAAATATAAATTGGTGGCAATCCCGTTTTACAGTTGTTTTTCAAACCACTTCTGGTCTCAGACATACAATAGTGACTTTTGCCTTGTGGCTATAATAATAATAAGGAGTAACGTAGATAGTATTGCTGGCCAATGCCCTTTTAACATTGCACTGCTTTTTGTGCATGATCACTAGTAGTACAACATAAAAAGGGCACTGGACAGACACCACTCAAAGAAAAAAGTAGGTCCACTGCACCAACAGCACGGTGACAGAAATTAGCTAAATTGCTCTGAATGAAGCGCTCTCAGCTCATCTGACAGTTTATCCATTTGTTATCAAATTTTACTAAATGGTCGTCCCCAAAATTTCTTTCAGTGCAGACTGCTGAAGTGCACACTGGAAGGCGCTAGCTCAGTATGTGAAGTCCTGAGCATTAAAGGTTAATGAAATGGTTGTTGTACAGAAGGATACATTTATCACCAGCAACTGCCATGTACTGTATTTCATTAGAGGCCTGGCTCTGCGTCTGTTGAAGCTGTTGGAAAGATCTCCAGTCCCAGCTGACTTCAAAGAATGCTTGTGCAGCACAGCCTCAGGTGCCCAAGTGCTAAACTACAGCACCCGGTATTCTTATTTGAATTGTTAATAAGTCAGCTTTACAATCTTTTGCATAATGACTCTCATGTTATATTGTAGATGTTATGGTTCATTTAACTCTTCTTGTTACTGCACTTTGAGCAATAGTCTCAAATAACCATCGATTACCCGTTATTTTCATACACATTGTTCTTTTTAAGCTCCTACAAATTAGTTTATCCCTGGTTCCATGAGACTAAAATGAAGCTTTCCATGAAATGCATGTCTAAACCTCTAGGGAAATAAGAAGTGTTATTTTATCACACTTCTGTGGAGAGAGCTGACTTCACAGGAAATCCAGGAAGAAGAAACAATGAGCAGAAGGAAAAGCAAGACACACAAAGCTGCAATATGTGAGACATAGCTGCCAATGTACATATTCTGATTAACATAAACAATGACAAAGAAAAATATTGCACTTTTGAATGAGGTTTGGATATAGGAAATTAATAAGTGAAATTGTTTGAGGTGTATTTAAGAAATCACCCTTTTCTTAAAAAAAAAGGAAAAAAAGGAAAACAAAAGAATCCGGTGAAGATGCAACCGCCTTGTGCCACCCAGCAGTTTTAATGGAAGAAGGCAGCCAGGCATACCATCTTCCATCTTCTGCTAGAAGAAATTAACAGAAGAATCAACCAGAAAAATGTAAGACTAACAGGGTGAAATCAAAATCAATTAGGTTTTCAAATGGATCACCCAAATGATTTGGGGTAATTAGAACGGGGTGAAAGGCCAAGCTATAATCTCAAAACCTTTGGAAGTTGTTACGCACCATCTGTGCAGATAATTGACCCGAACGAGCTCTCCACCTTGAAATTATTTGTGCAATGATCATTTTGGTCTACTCGTAAAGCAGATCCTAAGACAGTGACCCATTACTGCCTTCTTCCACTACCATACATAAAAGCCCCTGTTAACCTTAAGGGGGCCAGAATACCTCTCCGACTATTTACATGTCCTAAAATGAGAATCACTTGAAAGTAAGACTTTCAATAAAACACATAAATAAATCATAACATTAAATAAATAAATATCAACATCTAACCTAGGTATCTTTAAACAGATTTCTAAATTATTATTTCTAAACTAGGGTTTACAATAAAAAAACCCTAACAAAACATACGGGGAGATCAAGCTTATGCTATGGGCAGGGCTGAAGTTTTGAATTTGAAATCGGAACAACTTCAGAGCTCTGACAAGAATGTAGTATGTCACTGAATTAAAATACTGTATATTATTACCACTCTAAGTATTCAGTATGATGACTGCAGTTCAGTAGCTAAAGGAGAGCAAAAAAAAAATTCTTTTCCAACAGCAAACACTTACTTGCCCACTGTTCTAATGCTTTGAGGGACGCATTATGCTGGTGCTGGAGAAAAGTGACTGAAGGAGCAATAAAGTAAGTAAAAGTAAACTACACAAGTTTAAACATGGGGCATTAAGCAGGCCACCAATTTTGTGTATTAAAGTGACAGTCTAGCACTCATTAGGGTAAGGGATAATGTGGATATACAATATTCCCCACCATGTTCTCCCAGTGTTCCTCCTATTCTTAATTTCTCTTGAATATTCCACTTTGGTGATGTTACCGTGTACAGATAAGAACTAGGAGACTATTAAACTCATTTTTACTTATTTCTTAATTAGAATTTGAAACCAAGATTGCCGGAGGAGGAAAAAACCAAAGACAAATCTATTGTATTATTTGTCTCTGGATTGAATAATGTACTTTTTTCTCCATGACACCTGTAGTTTATCAATTAAGTTTCCTAACACTGCTGCTACGACAATTAAAATTACAAAAAACTTCTGGAAGTTTCCAAGGAAAACCCAAAGGAGCGTCGTATTTTGGAGAACAATGTCAGTACGAGCATTTTAATTTATATAAGGATTTTGGGATAAAAATTATATTATCTGTTAAGCATTTGGATGCATAAAATATTTCCAAAGCATTTTCACTTGTCCTGGTTTCGGCTGGGACAGAGTTAATTTTCTTCCTAGTAGCTGGTACAGTGCTGTGTTTTGGATTTAGGGTGAGAACAATGTTGATAACACCCCGATGTTTTAGTTGTTGCTGAGCAGTGCTTACACTAGTCAAGGACGTTTCAGCTTCCCATGCTCCACCGACTGAGCAGGCTGGAGGTGCACAAGAAGCTGGGAGGGGGCACAGCCAGGACGGCTGCCCCAAACCGGCCAAAGGGACATTCCATACCATGGGACGTCATGCTCAGTACAGAAACTGGGGAAAGCTGGCCGGGGGGGCCGCTGCGCTTTGTATATTCTTATTAGTAGCAGTAGTATTTTATTTTATTTCAATTATTAAACTGTTTTTATCTCAACCCACAAGTTTTCTCACTTTTACTCTTCTGATTCTCTCCCCCATCCCACCGGGGGGGGGAAGTGAGCAAGTTGCCGACTGAGGTTAAACCACGACACACTAAAAAAAAAGTGTGAACAAGATTACATTATATAGAAGTAAAAATAGAGATCAAGATTTGAAGGATGCCACAAGGAACTTGGCTGTTTAAAGAGTCAGTTTTCCAGCGCCTCTCAATATGTGAAAGCCCAGCACGGCTTTTTGTTTTGTTTTGCTTTTTTATTTTCGCTTTTCCATGAGCGGGGCAGGCAGAAAGGCGACTATTTCATAAGGTAGCTCAGTCTTGCCTTCAGGGGCTGGCTCAAAGAGCGCTGAGACGAAGTTAAACGCTGTCAAGAACTACGCGGACTAGCATGGCTGAAGGAAAAGCCACCCTCTCCTCAGGGCCGGCTGCATCCCAGACGGCGCGAAGAAATAAGGGCTGAAAGGGCCGCTGCGCTCCCCCTCAAGCGGGGGCGGGCGGGCGGCCCGGCCGAGCGCCGCCGCCCCGGCTCCCCTCCCC